ATAAATATTGCTTTGAAACTTTTTTTATGAAATATAAAATTACTTCATTTATTTTCCTTCTTTTTATGAATGTAACAAATTATTTATATTTTTTTTTTTTTTTTTTTTTTTTAATATTGGCCATGTATCATAAATAAAAATGTGTTTCTTAAAAATATCGGAAAATATATATTAAGAGATATAATAGAATGAACATATTATCAATTTAATTTTTAAAGTTATAATAAAACAAATGAAATAAAACATATATTTAGGTATCTCACTTCTTTATTTATTATTTTTTTTTTTTTTTTTTTTCTTAATTATTTATTTAAATGTGTATATCCAAAAAATAAAAATAGATATTTTAAAGAACATGAAATATTTATAAAAACTTCGAAAATAAATATTATTCAAAACTTATATTATTCAAAATGAAAAAGAAATGTATTAAAAAACAAAAAAAAAAAAATTGTTAATAGATATATAATGATATATCTATTTTAAAAGGAAGCAGCATTAATAAAAAAAAAAAAATAGGTGTTCATATAATTACAAAAAAAAAAAAAAAAAAAAAAAAATTATTTCCTGAAACCTGAAACCTGAAACCTGAAACCTGAAACCTGAAACCTGAAACCTGAAACCTGAAACCTGAAAGGTGAAATCTAAAAGGTGAAATCTAAATGGTGAAACCTAAAAGGTGAAATCTAAAATCTAAAGGTTAACCTAAAATAATAAAAAACCTATTAAAAACATCATAATATTACTCATTCAAACTTTATATTAAAACAGTTCTATAAATTTCATATATGATTCACATTAATATTAAATAATTATAATAAATACCCTTAAAATATATATTTATACATTTATATTTGTTATCCATACTTAATAATATTCATTACATTATATTTTTAAAATTTAATCTTTATTATTATACTTAATATTATTATTATTCGTATAATAATATAAGTTATGATACACCTATCTCTTCATTTTTCTTTCTTTTCATAACATATACCATTTAACTTAACTTCTCAATAAAAAAAAAAAATTATTATATAATTTAATTTTAATATTATTTTTTGACATATTAGTTACTATCATTTAGTAATAAAAAAAAAAATAATTATATAATTTAATTTTAATATTATTTTTTGATATATTAGTTACTATCATTTAGTGATAAAAAAACAAAAATAATTAATTTAAATTTTAACATATTTATGGACATATTAGTTAATATCATTTAGTAATAAAAAAAAAAAATAATTAATTTAAATTTTAATATTATTTATGGACATATTAGTTACTATCATTTAGTAATAAAACACAAAAATAATTAATTAATTTAAATTTTAATATTATTTATGGACATATTAGTTAATATCATTTAGTAATAAAAAACAAAAATAATTAATTTAAATTTTAATATTATTTTTTAACATAATAGTCAATATCATTTAGTAATAAAAAACAAAAATAATTAATTTAAATTTTAATATTATTTTTTTACATAGTAGTTAATATCATTTAGTGATAAAAACAAAAATAATTAATTCAAATTTAAATATTATTTCTCTATTCTTCAAAAAATTAAATTCCACAACGTTATAGTTTTCAATCAGATAAACGAAATAAAAATATAATTAAACGTTAAAATCATACTTCGTATTATTTACGACATAATCATCTTCGTTACAATAAATGTTACATAAATATAATATATATTATTTCCTTTATATATGGAATTATAAATTATCATTATTTTTACTATTTAATAAAAAAAAAATTTAATTTTGCACATATATATATTCTATTTCGGTTATTATTTTTTATAATTTGTCACTTCTATAAAAAAATAAAAAATATTTTTCTATAAAATAAAACACATTAATGCATGCATATAATATAATTTAAATGGTTATTGTATATACAAAGTGAAATATACTTAAATTTAACATACAAAAAGTTCAGTAAAATTTTAATTTAAAGTCAATCTCAATAAAAAGTTTTTTACAATAATAGCTGTATATCAATAATTTCACATTTAATTTTTTCTATTACATGATATTCTCATATATTTTATATTGTATCAAGTAAATTTTATTTAAAATGTGTCATACATCATTAAATAAACATTTTAAAAGTATTATAAAATAAAACCATAAATCGTATTTATGCGAGTATAGCAAATATTTTACAATATTTCTTAAAAAAATTATGTGTTATTAAAAAAAAATTTTTTTCCCTTTTTATATAACAAAAAAAAATAATATTATCAATATTTTGCCCTTCTTAGTAAAATCAGTTTTTATTCTTATTCTAAGATCTCTTTATGTTCAACATGCTTTCTTCTTTCATTTTATAGATACATTCACTCTTCTCTCTTTTTTAAATGTAATTGATTTATATTCTCAAAAAAAAAACATTCCATTTAGCGTTTTTTTCATTTTCTCTTTTTCTAATTATAAATAGAAAAAATGAAATATAATCCTTAAAATAATATTATTATAAATAATTTCTGAAAAATAAATATGATAAAAAACTAAAATAAAGATTTTTATATTCACATTTCAAATAAAAATATCAATATAAAAAGTTATCATATAAAAGGAAAAAAGTTAAAAATAAGTATAGAATAAAAAAAAATATTTATAATAAAAATTAATAGATTTATTTTTTTGATTTATAAAAATATATTTCATATAATAAATTCATTAATATTCCTTTTTAATTTAAATTATAAATTTTTTATTTTTAATACTTTATGATTAGTGCATTAATAAATGATGAATGAATTAAAACGATTTATTTATATTCTTATAAAAATTATTGTAAGTTTTTTTATTTTATTAACTTTTAAATTAATATATAAAAAAAAATTCTTAAAATAATAAAAATATATAGATAAAATAAGAATAACTGAAATTTACAATTTTAGAACTAATTTTTTGTATATTCCTTTTTTTTCCATATAATTAAATGAAATCGATAGTTTTTTTTCTATTAATGTTATCATAAAAATAAAAGTAAATTCTTAAAAGTTTATTAAACATATCTATAATTAAAACTATAACTTTTCATTCATTATAATTATTCTAATGTAAAAGTTTGTAACGAATTATTTCAATTAAATATAATTTTTATTAGAGAAAAAAAAAATATATATTTATATCATTTATGATACTTTTTCTTTAATTGTATAAAATTATAATTTAATTGTACTTTTTTTTTTTTTTTAACACAGCTATTAATCTTTTATAAAAATCTGTTTTTGCGTAAATTATATTTTAAATAAAATAAAAATTATCTTTTTTCCAAAAATTTTTTTTTTTAAAAATATATTAAAGATGAGACTTACTAACACAATTAATTTTATTTTACCACAAAGATTTCTAGTATCCAATAATGCAAGCATAAGTAATTTAGATATTTCTTCATTTAATGGGGAGAAAAAAAATTTTCAAAAAAGGATCTTCTCAAACTTTTTGTTTTCTAGACTTTTTATTTTGTATTTCTTCTCCTTTTTATATCTCTTCTTATTAGTAAGATAAATTTAAAATTTAAAAATATATATACATTTTTATCTATTTTAAGTTATTAAATTAAATACTTTTTATTTATAAATCTTTTCAATACATATGTTTTAAATGTTATTATAGAATATATGCGTATCTAAAGACAATGCATTTTCAGGATTAGAATTAAATAAAGTGTATGACAGAAAATTAGCTGAACACATCCGCAAAAGAGGAGAAGATTCAGAGCAACAAAAAACTAATTTTCATATAAATAAGGATGAAAAATCACATTCAAACTATGCAAGTTCTGTAAGGTCCGAACAAAATCAAAGTGATAAACAAAATCATGAAAAAAAAAGCGATCTGAAAAAAAAAGAAATATTAGAAGAAAGTGATCGAATTGAAAAGAAGAATGATAAAGTGCATGATAAAATGGACAAGCGTAAAATGAATGATGAAATGGGCAAGCAAGAAATACAAAATGAAGGTTGCGCAATTTCATTAGGTAATAGAAGTTCAGAATTACATTATCAATTAAGTGAAAATGAAATAAATGAAAGGATTAAAAATTTAGGCGATATTCCAAGCCTACAAGACATATATATACTTTGGTGGCAAGTACGTGGTGATCAGAGAAGAAATTTCCTTGTAATAGGATATTATTTAGAAAAATTATTTAAGTCACTGATGAAAACTCATAAATTTGATCAACGTTTCCTAAAAAAGGAATGGAATAAATGGTATCATGGTCTTTTAAATGATTTAATAGCTATGGAAACTAAGGATAATAAAAATTTTTACTCTTTACTTAAGAAAGAATCATGGACACGTGAAAAATTTGAAGATTTTATAGATACAAATATACTAGAATGGAAGAACCATAAGATAAATACAAGAAAAAAGTGGGAAAGTACTTTGACTGAGGACTTTAACAAAAAAAAAAATGATTTATAGATAATTTATAACATGGTTAAAAATGCATTGAAAATACAATGCAAAAAAAATCATTTGAAATTTTAATATATATCATGGTAACCATAATAAATAAAATATTATACAGTGTTTTAAAAAAATGTTATTATCATTTTTCTATAATGAAATTGTGTTACTAAGATGTGTGTATAAAAAGAAATTATATAAATATCCATAGGATATATATTATTTTAATACATCATATATAATAGGGAGCCTTGTAAGACTTTAATATAAATTTATTATATTTTTGATAATTTTTTTTTTTTATTTTAATTAAGGATGTAAAAATTAAAAAAAAATAAAATATATAATTTTTTTTGTCCTTAGAATGAGCAATTCCCATGTTTATTTATAAAGATATTGTATATTGTAAAAAAATTAAAATATCAATTGTTTTTAATTATAGTGTTTTCTGTTATTATTAAGATATAGTATTTTTTTAATCTAAAATCTATAATGTGCACGAGTACATAATTAAAGAAAATTTTTAAACTCTTTTTTTTTTCGTTCATTATTTAATAAATTAGTAATTAAATTGATTCTTAGTGGAAATAATTTGAATAAAAACACGATCAAGAAAAAAATATAAATGTACATACTCATTTTTATACTAAAATATAGACATAAAATAAACCATGCCCTTTGATATGTATTTTCAAGAAGAAAGATAAAATTGAAATACATGATTTTGTTATAAATATATTTTTTAAATATAATATGAAAATATAAAAGAAGTAGAAAAGGAAAAAAAGGAAGGTGAAATGGTGCTATATTCATTTCGAATGCTATATAAAACAATGAATCTTTTATGTATTAATATAAAAACAAAAATTTTCCTTTCATAGTAAAATATTTTATGTTCATCTTATTCTTTTGTATAATTAAAATATATATTTGACTTTCTTTTTATTAAAAATAATATATATAAGAAATTTATGAATTATCTATATTAATTTAAAAATTTAAATATATGTATGTTCTTTGATAAGCATATGAGGTAAATATAGACATACTTTATGCAAAATATTAAGAAGGTAATATATCGATTTATTTATATTGCAATTATGAAAAAGTATATTAACATTTCAATTTATATTTAGGATATTCCTCGCTAATTTTTTATAAATAAATTATTATTTTAATTCATTAATCTGTGTATTTTTGTATACCGAACAATTCCAGAATTATATTTAGGTATTCATCATGTTTTTATAAAAACATGATTTTATATAAATTTCTTTCTTATCAGCATAGTTAATATAAAATAAACATTTTTATTGACAATCTAATGTGAAATAGCATCTGTGCAATATTTTAACATGTTCTAAGCATGTATCTATTTCATTCTAATTCATTTTAATGTAATAGATTTATATATAGTTTTTTGTAACATATTCATCATTTTAATAAAAATTGATTTTTCATTTATTAGAAACATTTTTTTCCTCTTATGGAAATCCTTAATTTTATATTAAAAAAAAATTAACGAATTTCAATATTTGTTAGCATAAAATAGTATTTTTGAAGTAAATAAATAAAAAATATATTGTATCTCAATTATATATAACTTACGAAGGCATTTTTTTCTTATTATTAACTAATATTTAAATTACTTATATGTATCAAGAATAATGACACTTTATAATGTTCGTTATTAATAATGATATAAATAAATATTGTTTTAAATATAAATTTATTATGTCAAATATGATTATTTAAAAAATATATTTTATACTTAACCTATTTATAAAATATTTTACAGTAAATATATGAATAATCTAGTCTTTAATTGATAATCAAATTTATCTTTTATGAATTTTTAGAAATTTTCTTGTAACTTTTATGTAATTTCTAATATGAAAAATATAAATATAAGAATTATATCTGTAACTAATCATGTAAGAGAACTTTTTAAATTATTCACTTTTAAAATATAATCTCTTAGTTATATTTATCATAATTATGCTTATTATAGAAGAAACCTATTTTGAGAAGAAATATAATAAATAAAATTAATATAATTATTATTGCTATAAATGTTTTACAATACAGGACGTTGTCAATATAAATTATAATTCCTGAGAAAGAACTTTTTTTTATTTTGTAAATATGTTTTTATTAATAAATGATATCATTGCTTCTAAAATTATTATTTATTTATTTATTATTCCTTATTATTTTATACCTCATCACAAAGATAAAATTTAGTTAATAAGATCTTTGTTAAACTTATGATATTATTATTTTTATAATTGTCTATATGGATATATAAAAGAATAATTCTTTTGGAAAAACAAATTTATATAAATATATACGCACCTATAAATAATTAAGACTATTTTTTTTATTAGTATATAATTTTATTATAGAAACCATGAAAAGATTTAAAAAGGAGAGTTTTTATTTTATTTCTTTATACAAAAAGTTCTTCATGACATTATTAAAACCAACCTTAATGATACTATTTTCATTTACTTTCTTATAAAGAAATAAGTACTACGATCTAAAAATTAAGTCGTTTAATAGATTTTAAATAAATTTTCTAATAACTTACACATTAACATGGTTAAGGTTATTTTTCACTTTCTGCTTTTTAATTTATTATTTATTTAAATAAAATAAAATATTTTTATACTATTGTTATTATAGAAATTTTTATGGTTTGTTTATGAGTTATACGATGAACTTATAACTTTTAGCGTTTATGTATTTTCTAATACTTAAAAATATATATTATTATATTTATTTTATTCTCTTCTTATGAAAATCATTTTTTTTTTAATTGATGAATAGGTCTAAACATGTATTCATAAAGAAGTAACATGTGTAATATTTTAAAACTTTCACATAGAAATATGACTTATCCAACCAAGTCAAAAATTATATATATATGTAATTTAAAATAAAAAAATACAAAGCATAAATGATAATTTTTTTCATAAAAATATTTTTATAAAATAATTATGAATCACAATAATATATAAAATATTATAAAGAATGTATTAAATATTTCTAATTTATACATAAAAAAAAAATTTATATTCTTATAATAAATATGTTAAGAGCTTATTAATTAAATTATAAGTTTGCCACTTTGATTCATAGTTAAGCCACTAATTTTTAATATTATATTTTAACACAAATTTCCACACTCCAACATATGTGAACATCACAAAAAAATATCTTTACATTTTAATAACTAAATATTTTTAATTAAAATATTAGACTCTTGTATTCTTGTTATTTATAATACACTAATATAATTAATGAACTTCAATAAAAATGTGAAGAATTCAACTATGCAAAAAAAAATTCTTCACATATTTTTTTCGAAAATAAGCACTGTTTCTTAATGATATATATACAAGAAACATTATATTCATAAAAATTCTTAAATAAAGCATTAGCTTTGTGTATATAAAATTATTAATTGTTATATTTCTAATTCATTCAAACATTTTTCTCCTATAACATAAATTTATTTAAAATTAAAAAACACTTTTGTATATATAAAAAGGACAATAACCAATTTGGTAAAAAATTATAAATATTTTTAAAACTATTTTCACAATGTGCTTTAATAATAATTTTTTTTTTTTTATTAAAAACACACTTTTGAACATTCATCATTTTATATCATCTATATATATTTATTATATTGCACATATTTTTACATAATTTTTTACTAATTTTATATATTATACAAATTTTTTTTTTACATTAATAATTCTAAATATTTAATTTCTTCTATTGATATTAATACTTTATTATGTGATATATTTTTTTTTTTTTTTAAATATTCATACCATTATTATAAATGCATATTATTTTAATAAAATTATCTATATATTTAAAAAAAATTTAACAATAATTTGTATTAAGTACGACTTTTTTTATTACATTATATTTTGTTTCAACTATTTTACTAATAGGAAGAATAAATGATATTTGTTAATTTTTGTATAAATATTTTAACTATTATTTATTATTATGTTATGCATGCAAATGATTTATAAATAAAAAAAAAAAAAAAAAATAAAAATTAATATTATTAATAAATCTTTTTATACTTAAATTGCAATTTATTATTTATTTTTTTATAATAAGATCTGCATTTTTATTAAACATAATATTTATGCAAATATTTAATATATTCTTATTTTTATATAATGATGTAAATATTTATATATTGTCTTAATGTTCATTTTCATTATAATTTCAACTTAAAAATTATCACCTTATTTGTATATTTTTTTTTTAATTTATATAGTATATAATGTAATACTTGCTATTATTAGTATCCTAATATTTAATTTTTTTTTAAGACAAAGATTTTTTTTTTTAATACATTTTTTTTATGAATTATTTTATTTAGAATTAATTTTTCAATTAAATTTTTTTTTGTTTCACGCAATCGAGCAAAAAATAAAAATAGATTAACGTTCGAAAATATAAAGAAAATAAAATTAATCTAAAAAAAAAAAAAATAGAAGGAATGATTTATATTTTCCGTATTAATAAATTTTTTTAAGAATAACGTATTTAAAAAGAAATATTTTTATAAATAATATAAGGAATGATAATGAACATAAAATTTTTTGGCCATTCCTTATTTAAATACTTTATGTTATTAATTATTTTTTTTTTCTGTAAAAAATTTACGAAATAAAAAATATGATGCTTAAAAAAATAATTATATATTTCACATACTTATAGAATAAATTCTAAAAATTTACAAAGTAATTTACATAGGGATAATGTGTAAAAAAAAATGA